ACCAAACACAATCACAGCCTGTGGGCGGGTGTCCGCAAACGCATCCCACGTAGCATTGAAAACTGCTTCGTCAGCAGGTTCACTAAGTGAGCTGTTCAAAGTGAACACACCACAAAGCTCATAACCCATGTCAGACATGACTCGTACAGCCTGCTCGTAATCACCCTTTCCAAACAAACTATTCTGGAGATACATAAATCCAAGTCTGCGTACATGAAGCTTATTCACAGCATGGTTCACGAGTGCAAGCAGCTCAGCAGCAGGCTCAGGACGCAAAAAGTATACAACGGGATTCCACGTTCTCAAGCTAGAAAACGCAGCAAAGGGAGCAAATGCAACACTACGGTGCTTTGCAATGGCAGGCAGAGTGAGCTCTACAGCAGTATCCCCGAAAAGTCCTTGTACTGCCAGAATGTCAGGGTCCTCAGTCAGTGCCTCGTCAACAGTCTTCTCAGAGGCCTCAAACGTCGTGTATTTGGTCACAATCTTAACACGTATGCCATCAGCAACAGTACAGTTGCGGGACCATAGTGCCGCGTTGAAACCAGCAACAGCAGCATGTAAAGTATGAGGCGACACTGGATGATCCGTAATATTCAATGCCAACAGCTTCACAGTGTCCTTTTCAGTTCCTGTATCCTTGCACAGTGCTGTGAGTGGGGTGTACACCAGCAAGTGGATGAGGCACAGCAGTGCAGTGAGGCACAGCAGCGGGCGGAGGGACGTACCGCCGCCGCAGTGTGCCACACGTATCGCCTGGGGTGTGTGGAAGTGCATTGCTTATAGTGGTAACCTAGAAAAAAGTGTATCGAATGAAATGAGAATAATATGGTATATGAAAAAGCATAATTGTACAAACACAGATCAGTAATTAGATGTTGAAGAGGTAAATGGAGGTTGTTGTAAAAGAAAAAGCAAGTATTCACTGATGTGACAATTGCACTCTGTCTTGGTTCTTTCATATAAGAGCGCCGGTACGGTCTGTTGAAGGTTGTGTTGGGAGGCGCTCCTCTGTAAGGATGAAACAAAGACCTTTCTCTTTCCGAATTCCCGCTGCATTTGTTAATATAGTCATTTTGGTGGGGGAAATAGATTCAACTAATGCAAAACCCATAACCAGACCACGGCGTAGTCGTGACTCGAACACAGCAAAAGGAATACGCTGGAGTGTTCCGTCATGTAGTTCTTCCTGCTCCGTGGCTGAGCTAATCGCTAGTATACGGTCAGTAAGATCGAAATCCTGCGGGTGAAGATACGTGAGAGAGATACCACGCTGCGTTTTTGGAGACGACTGATCCTCACTGTCATCCTCCATTGGCATGAACGTCGACATAAAATGGGAATCACCTCTCCCAATCTGGACGAGGCGAACGAGAGAAAGCTCCAATGTGAGCAGCGTTGGCTTTACTGCCGACGTTCGGGTACCGAAGAAGTAGTGCAGCCAGCATTGGCGCTTGAAGAAAGCATCCTCAGCAACGGCTCCACATTGAAGCGCGTCCACCAGAGCGAGCTGCACCTTCAGGCCGCCGTTGCAAAAGACAGTCGAGGGTGTCGTCCACGAGACGGCCGGTGGTGCACCAAGTCGCTGCTGCAGCCGCTGTGCCACCTTGAAGCGCAGCCAGGCACTTCCCACCACAAACACATGGTCAATATCAGCCTCTATGATAGTGTCAACGAGAACATCAAGGGGGTTTGTCCTGCTACGCTCCTCTAGACGCGCCTCTGAACACTCCCACGTTTCCGCCTCCTCAACAAGAGTGCGTGGGATTATCCCATAATCAAGAAAAATACCTCCCACTCTGCACCGATCGCTTCGCGCCATGCGCTCGGTGGCCAATTGCATCAGGCCACGCATAACGTGCATAAAGAGGGAAGGATCTTCGTGCTTCCCAACACCCTGGTGGGCGTGTAGAGAGGGAACAAAGCACATCTCTTCCTCGATATCCACTGTGTGCTGAACAGCGTACAACGAAACATGGCCAGGGTAGCCGAAGCGAGGTGCGTCCACCGCAGCATCGAGGAGGAGAGGGTGGTAACCGAGACGAACAGCATAGTTTGTCAGCATTCGAATATAGGTGCTGGTCCCGGCAACACGACGGTCCGAGACAAAGAGCGCTCGTGGCCCCAATCCCTCCACACCACTACGTCGCGCCTTCACTCTCTGCACCTCAAGGTGCGTATTGATGTCGGCGATGGAGCGGGCCCACGTCGCGCCACACGTTGTGCCGTAGCACGACTGGTGAACAGAAGATGGAGCGGAAACGATTAACGTACACCCAGTAGGGGAGAAGACACCACAGAAGCGACCAGCAGGTAGGCGTACAGCAACACCAGGTGAAAGCTCTGTACCAAACACATCTGCACGCGGCTGCTCGCCACCATCCTCTGCAAGCGGTTGAAGCGTGACAACTGTCGGTACGTGCACTGCCGTGGAAGCCACCAAACGCAGTTCGCCCATGGCTGGCAACGTGTATTGCCGCTCCTGCAGGGTCATGGTATCACCCTTTATCCTTGATCAAACTATATAGAAAAGAGAACGTTGAAAAGAGAGAAGAAAAGTAAAGGGGACCTATTGACATCCACTTTTCAGATGCTACATCAACGGCAAAAAAATTGACCACACACCTTTCGTTCTTTGAGCTCTACCTTCACGCCCAGCTGTTGTACCCTGAAGGCAGCGGCGGTGCAGGTGCCTCTGGGAGTGGCACCACCTGCTCCTCCACCTGTGAGTTTGCATTCACAACGGTACGCCGCAGCAGACTTGACTCGTGCAGCACACGAGCCACAGCAAGCAGGATGGAAGGCTCCTTCTTGAGCATTGTCTTTATGTCTTCATACTTCGCCGGATCATCTATTTGTCGCCGGAGCTCCTTGATGATGCTGTAGATCTCCTCTGTAGCCATTCCATTAATCTGTGACGGTGGGGTTGGTGGTGGTAGAGGTGGAAGCGGCACGTCGCCTACGCTGGAACCCCTACCGCTGCCACTGCTGCTGTTGCTGGGCGATCGGTTGCCTTCAGATAGCTCACCCACCTCACCTTCTTCGAAGAACATCTCAGTTGGCTGTATAGGGTGACTAGTATGCCTACAGAAACAAATAAGAGCAAAACAAACGAGAAAGGTGATGGAGTGTGTATAGCAATAAAAACAGTCTCCACGCGAGACGGAATGCAAAGGGAATTTATGCCCACAGGTAAAGGACAGAAAGCACAAAGAAAGGAGAGAGAGAAACTCTGTCAGAAGAGCCATTGATAAAAACAAAGCGATACCTAGAAAAAGTACGATAATAGGAAATCTAGTGAGGTGCGCAGTTGGCAAAATGTTACTACAGCAGTACTTCATCCAGTTTGCCTGCACTCGATAGTAGGCGGAGTGTGTCTACGTAAACTGCTTCATCTTCGCGAAGTGCCTCAGTCGACAGGTCCAGTGTCTTCAGCGCTGTGTTGTACTGGATAAGGCGTGCAAATCCAGCAATACCAAGTGGCGTAAATACATTACCACTTGCTGTGAGGGAGTGCACTGAAGTGTTACGAGAGAGACCTTCACCCAGCTGCTGCAGCGCCTCATCACGCAGCCCGGTGTTACTAAGGGAGATTACCTGAAGCGAGGCGCTGTTCTCCAAGAGGGCCACTAGCTCAGCGTAGCTCGCCGGTTCTGTCGTAACGCCCATGTTGTTTCCACTCATATGTAGCTCACGCAGAGACGAACTTCGCACAAGAGAAGCAAAAAGCTGCATACACCCAGCATATGAGATGTTGTTTTCACATAAGTCTAACACGCATAGCGCGGGGTGGGTGCCAGCCGCATCACTAAACAGTGGAGAAAGAAAACCTGTTTTGCATGCCAGACCATTGCCACGAAGCTCCACACGCCTAAGCGTGCGGTTGACCCCAAGAGCGGCTCCCAATGCATCACTCACTTCACCCTCAGAGAGGCTGCACTCGTTCATGCGCAGTTCCTCCACGTGGTTCACTGAGCCGAAACCACGGAGGAAGCGAAACATCTCCTTTGCTGCCAATATATCCACACCTTTGCCTATGGGGTTGAGCGAAAGGTCCAGCTCAGTTATGTCGCTGTTGGACGCCAGCTCCGTGTCCAGTAGATCGAACTGCGGGAATTGCAAATTGCACGAGCGCAAGGAGAGTCGAGTAATACCAGTATCCCTCGCAACCAGAGCATACGCCCGCGTCGATGGCGGATGCAGCCCCGGATTTCCAGAGACATCAAGGACATGCAGCCGCGGTGCCACGCGTACAGCCTTCACAAGGGCCTCAATACCGGAGGGCTCTATGCGGTTGAAGGCCACGTTAAGCTCCACTAACACGGTGCGACCGCTCATGATCACCTCGCAGAGAGGGTGAAGAGCAGCGTGCGTCAAAAAATTGTCTTCTAGTATTAGGTGTTCCAGTGCACTCGGATGTTGGCAGTCAAACAGAAGCAAGAGAGACTGCAGTGCTCGTGCTCCAATGCGGCAGCCTGTCAGCACAAGCCTCTGCAGTTGCTTCGCGCCACTACAGAGAGCACGGCCAAGATGTTCTGCTGCGTTGTCAATAGAGACATAGGAGATATCTAGCGTCTGCAGGGAGGGAAGCGCTGCAGCGAAACTAGAAATCTTAGGAACAGACAGTGCGGTCAAAAGCTGACGCATCGCTGAAGGCTGCGAAAGCAGTAGCGTCGTAATGGTAACGTTTTCACTCCACCTATCATCCCTGTAGGAGGGTTCATATTCGAGCATCGCATAGTGAAAAATATCGGCGAGTGCAGAAAAGTGAGAGTCGTCCAGTGGTGGGTCGCACCCTGATAGGTCTAGTGTGTGAAGTGTGGTGTTGTTATCCACAGCATGGTCCATCGCCTGGAGCAGCGCAGGTATCGGCGCACGCTGACGTCCAAACTCGTCGAGTTCTGTGCAGAACGACATGTACGCTGCCTTCAAAAATTCCACGCGTGACTCGTAGAGCAGAGGGAGAGGGCGATGCACCACAGGAAACTCAAATAACGTCGGGTTGCCAACAGTAGTGCGTACAACTTCCATGTTCATAATGTCTATACACAATTCATCGCGTGCGTTTTGTGGAAGTAACATGTAGTACTCATTAAGCAGGTCGACCATCTCCTTGGCCTGCAGCTGGCTCGTACCGTATAACGTCATCTTACTGGACCCACGGCGCCTCACAACAACGCCAGTGTGACATTTCTCCCAACCCAGAAGATCGGTAAAGCTAATCTCATCAAGGCATTCCTGCTTTGTCGTGCTGAAGATGTACAAGCCATCCTCCGCTACACCTGCGAGAAACGGGCGGTTGTCACGGTCCCGAACATCAAAGAAGGTGAAACCCCACCATGGTGTTGTGCTAAGAACGTCAATGTAACCCGTCCGAGCCTGACTGGCTGTCAACCCAGAACGATACCTGTGGTTGGCAGCCAGTCGTTGCTGCCAGTAGTCGTATGTGTGTGCCGATACAGACATCGGAAGGTATGCCTCAAGTCCCACCTGGTCAAAGTAAAGCAACGCCTTCTGAGCCGTGTAATCACCGAATACGGCTTGTAATTCGTAAGAAGCGAGCCGCACCGCAACTGCTTCGCCCACCGGATAATACTCACACACCACATGCTGCTGCAACTGGCGAAAGAACCACTCTTGTACAACGGGGTCATCCCAGAGCAGTGGTCTCTTGTAGTGTTTTATGCGAAGAAGAAGAACCGTCTGCGGTGTAACTCCTTCCGCCAGCAGTGTTGAGTCGCGTTGCAGGTGGCGGTACACCGTTCCAACGATGCCACCCTCCTCAACGAGTTGGGCAAGGTGAAAGCGGTCGTATTTCAGAATGCCAGCACGAAGAGCCACACGCGAAATAAGAGCATCCACGGTGTCGCTTGGAAATGCGTCCACACGCTTTTGGCTTCCATCAACGAACTGCACCGTGTAGGTTAGAACAACTTCACCAGCATCTTTCTTTGTAGCGTCCTGTCTCTCAAGCCGCAGCCGCTCCGCATCGGCACGTCGTGTTGACTCTTCAATGGCATCACGATTCGTCCGGCGTTCATCTTCTAACTGACGCTCACCTTCACGCGTAGCGCGTTCCTGGAGTAGCTGACGATTCAGTGCATCCAATGCATCTCGTAAACGGGACAGCTCTTCTTCTTCTTCTTCTGCTTTGGGTAATGCAACAACACCACACACAGAACTGGCATCGAGAAGGATGTCTTTCTTAACGTCATTAGGTGAGAAGGGTGGAATCACAGAGAAACGATCACCAATATGTTCCAAAGATATATTCTTTTTATTTTCCTCGCGATCCTGCATCGGTTCAGATTCCCCAATTAGCTGCTGACGGCAGTCGGTACAAAGCTGTGCCTCAACAATTCGCAGATCTTCTAGCGTGCACTGAAGCTCCATGTGTACTTTACTGATAAAATTTGCTTGCTCTATCAGGTTCTTGTTATTGATATTATCTTTCTCGCTGGTATGGGCAGTGGTCTGTCGTAGTTGTTCCTGGGCACGATGAATCGCGTCACGCAGTCCTACATTCTGTTCTTCCACAAGTTCCACAATACCTGTGTACCTCTGTGCATCTAACTTCAGAAGAGCAATTTTTTCCCTTGTCGTGTTTGTAAACATCTTCGACTCATTGCGGACATGCATAAGTGCTTCAGCTGTCGTTTTCAGCTCATCCCCAAGCGATTTGTTTTGTGCCGCCAGCGTGTCCATCTCATGCTCACTGAGTCGTCGCATACGTTTCAGTTCGTCCTGGCGATTCTCTGCCAGACGCTGCAATGACACCACACGCGTTGACATTTCCGTTTTGTAGTCCCACAACTCGATTACTGCTGACTGTAGCAACGCTTCTCGCTCCGCTACATTTTTTTCAAGTGCCTCTGCCGCAAGTTTCTGCTCTGCATGAGTCGTTTCAAGGTGCTTACGAAGACTTGACAACGAGCGTGTCTGTAGTGATACGTTCTCGAGAGTAGATGTTAATGTACTAAATTCTGCACGCACCGCGGCAAGACGTTCATCACACTCTCGCTCCAGATCAGTTAGAGACGCTATCTGAGACTCCTGTACCGCTACTTGTGCTGCACGTACCTTTTGCTGTCCCTCAAGTCGCCTGTACTCTGCTTCTGCTGCATCATACTCAACTCGACGCAGCATCACACCTCGACGTGCGGCATTGATATCCATAAGTAGCCCACGCTTCTCCCCACGAAGAGCCTCAGCAACATTGAGAAGTGCGTTGCGCTGTTGCAGCTGGTTGTGGTATGTATCACCAAGTATTAAGTGCTCCGACCGTAGCTTTTCAAAATTATCTTTTGACTGGGCGAGTCGCACAACTGGGTGTGCCTCCAACGCTTTGTTTGACGCCTCTAATTCTAGGATATTCTTTCGGATGGCATTGACGTATCGTTGCCCTGCATCAAGGGCACGGTATGGGTCTGTGCGACAACGCAAAAAGTCTTCCTGCGACATCCACGACGGACACTTCATATCAGACATGTTATTGACTCTGCTATATAGCTGCAACAACAAAGAGAAGAGAGAGAGAAGTTAGTAAAGCAGAATAAAGAGGAAACTCAAAAAAAAAAAAAAATGGGATAAGAATGTGGTTACAGAATACTAAAGCAGGTAGGAGGATGTAATTCAAGATTTATACATGGAGAAGAGCACCACCATTATTATCATCATAAGTATCATCGTCGTCATCAACATACATACGTAGCAGGGTAGAATAACAACAACAAAAAGAAAAAAAAAGAAAAAAAAAAAGAAGACACATGCTACGCAAGAACATGACGCTCTATCATAAGTGCACGCGCAGTGTCCGCTGCAGTTTCACTGTGTCGCTGAGCCAACTGCAACACACGGCCCACTAACGCCTCCTGATGCTGACGTTTTTCCAGCAGTTCAACATCCGCCGCAACATCTGGAATAACGGTGGAGCGAGCCTTCTGAATAGCCTGATCGTAGCGTATAAGCGCCTCTCTTCCTTGAAGGATGGACTCGTGCACCTGTCCGCACGCCTGACGGAGATCCTCCACAGTATTTAATGCTCGTTCTTTCTGTGCTTGCACCTCTTGTAGCTCGTGCGTTTTACCGTAAAGGAGCTGTTGATAGTCATTTGTCTCTAGTGTACGACGACTGATGATGGCTTTTAATTCACGTTGCTTAGCCTGCAGTGCACGCTTCGTCTTGGCTTCTTCGTGGTCCTCTTGTACGCGGTCAAACATGTGACGATAGTTCGAGTTACTCGCACGTATAATCTGCAGTGTGCGCTCCAATTTAACCAGTTCTCGCTCAAGCCGTGCTACACGTGCGTCAAGTGCATCTCCCTTGAGTTGTAGTGTTTCTCGTTCTTTCGCCGCCTCAATAACAAGTTGGGCCTGCGACCAAAGTGCCTGCTGAGGGTCCATGCGACCCACACGAACGTCGTAGCGGTTACGCAGCGCAGTGAGGTTCTTCTGGCGTTGCTGAAGCTCTGCAACAAGCCGTCGTCGCTCGTCCTCAACAAGCTTTGCATCCATGCGGAGCACCTCGTGGTGTACACTAATTTCGGCTAGCCGCTCAGCGACATCCATAGAGAGTTGCTGCTTTTGCTGCTCCAGGTTGCCCAACTCTCCGCTACGTTGGTGCAACGTACGTCTCAATCCCTGTAACTGCAACTCCTGTGTATCAACCTTCACCAGTTCGTCCTCGCGCAACTTGCGTAGTTTACTTAACTCTGTCGCACAGCTGTCACATCCAAGACGCAGTTGAAGAGTTTTTTCCCCAGCACTCCTCTCCTGAGCGCTAAGTTTCTCAACCTCAATGTTTGCCTGCCGTGTCTCTTCCCGCACACGTTTCACCTGCGTCTCCAACGCCCGCTGCTGCTTCGCTAGCTCATCCAGACTACTCTGAAGTGCTGCAATCTTTTCATTTAACTTGTTCCGCTCCTCCTCCGTTCGTTCTCCCTTGGCACGATTCACCTTGCGCTGCATCTGTTGTACATTAAACTCAACTCCGTAAAGCACCTCTTGCTGTGTGAAGGACTCACGATCAAGTTGGTTGATTTTTGCCTTGAGGTTACGACCTTGCGCCTGTCCACCGCTGATCTCTGCGATAAGTGTGTCCTGCTGCTGGTATGCAGCGTGCAGACGTTCGCCAACAGCAAATTGTTCGCGTTTCAGATCATCCACCTCTCTTTCAAGGCGTCTGTCCGTAGCCCGTGCCTCCTGCAGTAGTCGTGCAATAGTAGCGCGTTGCTGCTCAAGGTCACTTGTCTTCTCACCTGCGCTTTGCACCTGCTCTTTGGTGTCTGCACGTTGTGCCACAATACGTTCATACTGCTTGTTCTTTTTATTCACCCCATCTCGGGTATCCTGGAGACGAATGCGTGCGTCATTGCGCTCCCGCACAGCGCGTGCGAGTTGTTCCCGCATCGCCTCCACCTCCTCCTCTAGTGCTGTGACGTGTGCGTCGAGTGCGGCTCGCACACCGCGGCTCTTCTCCGCGCGCCCCTCCCGCTCGCGAATGGCCGCCTGCACCGCCGCGCCGTCCGCCCGCGCCGCCTCCAAGTCGTCCTCCAGCGCCAGCCGCACCGCCCGCCGCTCCTCAAGCCACGAAGCCCCCGACGCGTAGCGACCAGCGGCCGCGCGGATCGCTTCGTCCCGCTCGCGAATGCCCCGCACGGCCGCCTCCCACTCGCCCAGCAGCGAGCCGCGGTCGCTGTGCAGTCGGCGGTACTCCGCAGCCGCGCGGTCGAGCTCCGCCTGTGCGTGGCGTGTAGACATCACCGCCTCCTCTAACTCCCCTCGCCGCTCACGCAAACGCGCCTCAAGACGTTCTACAGATGTTGTCAGCTGCCGCACACGCGCTTCGTCATTCTTCGCATATCGTGCCACAGCCTCCTCGTCCGCCTCCTTCTGCTTGCGGGCAATATCCCACTCCTCAAGCTCCTGCTGGTTGAACTGCATTGCATTCTTAAGTTCCGCCATGCGAAGATTTTCTTGAAACACACGGTTCTGCACCGCTTGTAGCTGCTCTTGCAGTTCCGCCTGCTGCGCCGCCATATGTGACTGGGTCTGACGCAGTCGACCACACTCACGATCAAGAAGACGATACATATGTGTCTCAGACTCCACCGCACGTCGCTTGCTCTCCACCAGACTCTGCGTATTCACAATCTCACCACGCACATTTCCAAGGTGCTCCTTCACAAATTGAAGTCGACGCCGCTGGTCATCCACCTCACGCATCTTTTCTTCACACATCTGCTCATGACGTGAGAGCTGCGCCGTCAATTCCTTGTTCGTGGCATTAAGAAGCTCCAGTGGAAGAGCCTCAGCTGTGGCATCTATAACATTTACGTTCATCACTTTATTATACTACAAATGTATACACCTACTACTAACATGATAATAGAAAAGTGAAAATAATTCATAAAACCGTGTGGAAAAAAAAATACGCTTTTTTATTTTCTTTTTGAAAAGTGAATAGTATAGTCCTCAAGTGGAAGTAATACCATTGCCATAAATATGAGAAATAATTTTAAATAATAGGTTTCGCAATTGTGATAAATATTAAAAGTATCCTAATTAACCGTATAGAATAATATAAAAGTCGTACTAGAGAAATAATGAAATATACATTTAAACAACAATAATTCAAGATAAAAATTATATATATATATATATATATATACACTATAATATAATATATGGTTTAAAGAGAGTGACTCATTTTACTCCCACCATATTATTAAAAAAAAAAAAGTATTCTTTTTCTTCTTCTCAGTATTGCATATTTTTTATCAAAATTAAATACGCCACGTTAGGCCGCAGCGCAAATGTTTAAAAGTTTCTGATGGCGAAAGGCGCAGAATAGAATCCTCTGCTCGCTGTCCAGTAGAAAGTCCAGAAACCAAAGAAACCTGTTCCTTACCAAAGTGCAACCACCAGTTAAAACTACACTCAAAAGTAGTAGATGTAAGTGCGTTAAACGCATCTATCGTACGTCTTGGTGCTCCAGTGAAAGAAAACCCTACAGATGCTCGTGGTGGATGTGCAAAAGAGTCTGTTAAACACGCATTTGCATACAATAAACCAGAAGGCATATTCCATGAACCAGTTGTATTATTTTTACCGTTCTTATTGCGACTTATAGAAAGTTCAGCTGATACTAAGGTATACCAACGTGATGCGTAGTGCATTGATGGATGATCATCTCTGAAACCACGAACAAGATTAGAATCCCAACGTGGACCTTGTGTAGCCCAGAAAAGACTATGTGTATCAGCAGTAGTAGTAGCAGCAACAGGAATAAGAGCATCATTAGTTACACTAGAACTTCCACTATTTTCATTAATAAGTTCATCATCTCGCATTACTTCTTCATCATTTTCATCAAGTACAGATGTAGGTAGTGTATTTCTTAATGGTTTAGTGAATGGATGCACAAGTGCTGACTGATTTCGAATACGAAACAGTAAACGTTTATGAATAGGCAAATCCACCCACCACTCTGTTGCTAGCTTTCCAAATAATGTCCATGGTGTATCATCGGTGACATACTCTACACCAGAACCTGCAGAAAACTGAAGGTGATATCTTCCATTTGGAAAAATATGTCGAAGAAGTTTATTAGTAAATCGTTGAACAGCACTATCAAATCCTTTTGTGACCACAAGAGAAGCCACTGCCTGTTCTGATTCCGGAGAATTGGATAAATTGGTTGAAACACGATAAGCACTATCCAACATAATAGAATGACGTGGATTGTGTGAAAAGAGAGAAGTACGTACCCCAGCATCACGAAATCCAACAGTAATAATTTTCTCTGCTTTATTACTACTTATATTTTCTTCATTTTCACTTGTTCCTTTTACTGTTGTTGTTGTTGTTATTGGTGTTGTTGTTTTATTTTGATTACCAAAATATGATTGTTCTGAATTACGATTGTTAAAATACAAATCGGTACGTATAGCATCTATATTTTGAAAAAAATGCCATCTAGGTATTGATATTGAAAATTTTCTTGAAAAAGATGCGTTAAAAATAATTTCTTGGAATAATTGTTGTAAACTTCTTCTACCTTTATCTGTTTTCTTCTCCAGATTACATTTACCGAAATCCAATTTGTTTCGTTTAATGCTACCTCGCAGAAAATAAGGAACTTCCTGCATCTTTTTCTCCCCAAGAGCAGTATCATGCATCCATTGTGGAAATAGGAGAAAACGTGTAGGACCAGCCATTACTGGGGAAGAGATGTAACCACCGAAAAAAGGTCTTGATAACTTTTTATCTTCTCCTGCTGCTGTTGTTGTTCTTGCTGCTGCTGCCTCAATCTTTTCTGTTAATATTTGATGATTTCTCTTGCGCAGTGCCTCAGTAAAGATGTGACGTGAAGGTTCTGTTTGTAAAAGTGAGGGATACTCATTTTTATTACCAATGTTATTGGAATCCTGAAGGGATACATTGTACTTTCCACTTTCAACCTCTGCTGTGTTTTTTTCAATACGTAGTTCTGTGCCAGATACCTTTCTAGAATGTAAAGCCTGTGAACTCGCTCCGTAGAGAGGGGATTGTTGAGAGAAGTGGGCCCAGCGATGGGTAGCACAGGCAGCTACATCATTCTCTAAGTTAATTAAAAATAAATCTTCACCTTCATTTGAATTATTATTGTTATTTTTCATTTTCTGTTGCTCTTGATGAACCGTACCTGTTCGGCTATAACGTTCTTTAAGCCACTCTAAACAGGCATCATCCTCTGATAACTTTGAGGTATTTAAGTGAAATTCAGCTGAGAATGGTACGGATGTGTCCGTCATTACTACTAATATTACTATTACTAATATTATTACTATTGCTGATATAGAGAAAGGATATTGTGAATGTGTTTTGCGTAAAAAATAAATAAATACAATAAAGAAACAGAGAGTGTTTCACCTCAGTTTTTTTTTTCTTTTTTTTCAATGTGTCGAAAACACACATATGAAGTCATAGATAAGGAAAGAGATAAAGGGGGAAAAATAATAATAAGAAGAAAGAAAGAGTATATTTATCTCCTGAAAATACTCTACAAGTACGTATATCTATATCTGTCTCTGTAGAGATAAGCACGATAATACTCAGGTCCAAGAAATAATAATAATAACAATGTATTTATGTTCATTCTTATTCTAAGTAAAGAAAAAAAAAAGAATTATAAATGTAAGCACTACACACACCTACACAAACATATATAAATACATGCATACACAACACCTACCCAACGTTTTTTTTTTTCCTTTCTTTTCCTTTCAATACAGTAATATAGTGCACACCATTACACAAATAATATTTCACATGTAAATAAAATGTGAGTTGCCCTAACCAACGACAAAAAAAAAACTCTGCAGTACATATATGGATTCTCTTTACCTTTTTTTTTTTCTCACACCATTTGAAGCATTTAAACGGAGAGTTGAGAAGCCTCTACCTGTTGTTGTTTTGCCTTTTCGAGTACCTCCATCATCTTCAATCGTTTTGCTTTTTCCTCCACAAATCGCCAGACAAGTGTAGAAGTTTTCACTCGCTTTAGTGGTGTCAATTGAAGTAATTCCACAAACTTCAAAAGATCTCCCTTCGTAAGAAGTAACTCTCGCGGAGGACGCAGCACAACAGTGTGTTCGGGTGTAATAACTTCTTCTCCACTATTCCCAAGCTTTGCAAGGATACTTCGACTAAGATGTCTCTCTACTGTGGGCTGCAGGGCATTTGGAAATGCCTGAGCAAACAGGTGTGTGGCCTCCAACACATCAAACGCACTCACTTCTGTTAAGGCTTGTTTAAAGTCTACCTGAAGTACACCAGGCGTTGGGCGATATTGACCATACGTGTTGTAATCATTTACAAGCATCATCTTATGAAAGGTCTCACGTACATCAATATCAAGATGACTGTAATACTCATCATCTCCCTCGTTTATACTTACTTCACGTCTTTCTTTACTAAGGGCAGATATATTTCCAGAGATATCAGGATGTTGTTGTTGACGACAGAGATCTGTAAATATATCCACATGCGTGAGTGAGACAACATGCAACTTCATTAATTCACGTAAACGACCTGCAAAGTTCTCCATAAGACGTGTAAGAGGATCTAAAGCTTCAAGTGGAATATCATCTTTACGTTGAATTTGCAATAGAACCGCGGCAACCGCACACATCTCATTAGGACGAATAGGACGAGATAAATGTTCATCCTTATTAGAATATACCTGTTCACAAAGTGTAATAAATTTAGTGAGGTTCTGAGGAACAGGTACATCTGGTGGAGATATGATACGAAGTAATTCCAATATATCTTCAGAAAGAACAGCAGCAGCACCAATATCATCTACTATGTAATTAATAATTGGATCAATAAGTTCAAGATCTGTTGTTCGAAATAAACGCATGGCACGTAAAAGACGAGAAAAACTTGGTGGTGGAAAAGATCCTAACATAGGAAGAATAAGTGGTTTTATAGTAGGACGTAAATATTGTTGATGAGGAGCCCCAAACCGTGCGAGAACAAGAAGAAGTTTTGTGAACATAGATGGTTTTAACTCTGTTAAACGCTTAAAGCGTTCTCTTGCCCGTACAACCACCAACAACTGTGGGTCAAGATCACCTATAATAGCTGCAGTATCTGCAGACTTTTTTTCTAATGTTTGATTTACTGTATTCATATTAGTAGTAGTAGTGGATGAAGAAGAAGAAGAATGAAGTTGAGCATCTTCTTCTTTTTCTTTTTCTTCTTTCTTACGTTGTAATTCTATCAACCGTTCATGTTTCTTTTCATTCTTAATATTAGTTTCAATCGTCTCATATATGCAATTGGCGAGAAATTTAAATGAATTCATTTGATCATGCCCCATTTTGTAAAGATTTACCAAAGCTCTATAACTCGGTAGAGCACCTAATGGTTTTCGTTTATTTAGTACCGCAAAGCGACGCCCTAAGAGAGCGAGAAATCCCTTCGGTGGAATAATCTTTGCACGTGCAAAGGCCGTTAACACACGAACAAGATCTTGTGGATCTTTATATCGATTAATATGATGTACAAGGAATATTCCTAATGCTTGAAAAAATTGTAAATCTCGTTTACGTCTACCTGCACTCATACCCATTACAATAATACAACGTAATACCCCCTCTGCATTCATTTCATCACGTGCGTTAAGAAGAATAGGATCTAATGTATTTTTCTTTACTTCATGTATATATACAGCTCCATCATCCATATCATCATCGTTATCATTATATGGATTACTCTCTGTATCTTTCACACGTTCAACTTCCTGTGAGGCTCCTTTGGCTGCTGTAGAAGCAATAACCGCAATTCGATCACGTACCATATCTTTAAATTTAATCCCATACCGGACCAGTGTAGATCGTGCCCAATGACATTCTACAATATCAAGCATTTGTTGAATATGTAATTCATTCAATCGATCCATGATAACAGGGAATAAAACATGTTCCTCTTCAGCAGATACTAATCGTTTATTTTCTGTTGCACGAAGATACAATACTAATATCTCCACTAATTCTGTTACTTCAACGGTACGTAAATATTCCTGTCGTTCAAGAATACGAGAGGCCGAACCATCTGTATGAAATTCATTACCATAACTCTTATCAACACCAGCATAAGCAGTAGAAGCATTAACATTCCCTTCTTCTTCTTCTCCCTGCTGTTGTTGTTGAAGAAGGATATCAATAGGCGGTGATGCCTTTGTAGAGTGTGATTCCCGCAATAATGTATTCTCCTCTCTTTCCATTTCATTCATTCCATTATAATATGAATGAACACCTTCTTCTACAGCATTATCATCATGATCATCATCCATTGGATCTGAAAAGGGATCTTCACGCATGCGTGAAGAAATATCTGCAGTGGAAGCAAACCGCATGGGTTCCACAGACACACTTGCGAGTAGAGACTCTTCACGACTAATATGAACAGCCGCAGCGGCCTCCCGATCTACATTATGTAATTCCGCCATCTCTTCATCAGACGGTAAAACACGACGAACTGTGCGGCGTGGCTTCGGTGGCTCTGATGGATCTTTCCCTGATGAACACCACGCAACTGCAGATGTGATGATGGGATGAAATACCGTTGGATTCACTACACCACGTGAGTAACGACGATACATGAGGGAATATTGTACGTTAACACAATAGGGAATTATTATTTATTATTTATTTAATTAATTTATTTTTTTTTCTTCTGTTTCGATACACGTTTTTCTTTTTCCTTTCTTTTTTTTTTTGATGTTCCTTTATAATTCCAATAATTCCTATTGATGTTATTCACTTAATCCTTTATTATTACTATTATTATATATATTCTCTGTGATGAACTGTGAGCTGGAAGGAAACAAACCAAAACACAGAAACAAATAACAAAAAAACCTACAGAAAAGAAATTGCAGAAGAATACTGCACTGAGAAAAGAAACTAAAAGGAAAATGGTAATAGATATCTTAAAGAACACATAAATCGAATAGACGTTAATTATAAAAATAGAGAGAAACATAGAAAAAAAAACAAGAATAATAACAACAACAATAACAACAATGAGAGAATCAGGCATAGAAGAAGAAATAAAGAAAAAAAAATCCGTGCCTGTATAACTCCTTAATGAATGTGATCAACTTAACAAAATAAAAAAAATACACACTCAAATAATTGGCATGCATTTTGCTCTTCCGTTAGTAAATATCCCTCTTCTTCCTCTTCTCTGAAAATCAGGGGGTTTTTCTTTTGTTTTTGTTTTTTTCTTCTCCACCTTCAATTTCTTTTTTTTTTCTTTTTCTTTTTTCTTCTTTTTTAAAAACCTCTGCTTTTCTCTCTCTCTTTTCCTTCATTCCCTTCTTCCTATTTGATGGCTTCTTTCTTTCTTTCTTTCCTTCTTTCTTTCCTTTTCTCCACTAGTAGAGTGCCTTTGTGAGCAACTCCTGTGCCATTGCCTGTTCCTCCGGCCCACCGTACTGCTGGGCGAGAAGAGAAATGAACTCCCACACACTGCGGCGCTGGCGGGATAACAACAGTGGGGAGTCCCGCACAAGTTGAATAAATCGCCGTACCTTCACCGCATCGCATTGACGTTGACCAAATACCCGCAGAAGGGAATACTTTAATGTATTTACTGTGTTTATTGTATTTTCTGTGGAATTGGTATGAGAGGATAGTGATTTCTTCATGGTTTGTAGACGAGAGTCAATGATGCTGCTGATCTCACGCTCCATCCATGCAGAGAGTGCCTGCGGTGGTGGTGTTTCTGAATTGAATTGTGTAGAAATGTTAATAGCAGTTCTATTAGGTAAAAGATGTAGTTGTTTAAATAGGAATGCCCCAACAAAGAGATTATACAAACCAACACGGTGAAAGGTCGCACGTAGACGATTCATTTCTTCCGTTGAAAGTGAATGTCGTAAAACCATTTGTCGTTCGTAGGTGTAAATAAGATCTTCATATACTTCTAAAGCAGCACGTGCAATTTCTCCACCAAACGAATTATTCACATCATCTGTAGTAAATGTAGATATATTATGATTATTATCTTCTTCTTCTTTTATTCTCGTTGTTGTTTCTATACCATCATGTGAATCTAGCAGTGAAACTTCATCCTCTTCCTCTTCTTCCTCCTTTACGGCTTGTTTAGATTTACGATTTTTCTTATTCACCACCGCATTCCGTTCCTCCCACAACTTCTCTGTGAGTGGGTACTGTGGTTGGTGCCGCATGCCGAGAATAACAGAGTGCTCCAACACGCGTGAGATGAGAGAAGTGGGAACCGCACCAACAGACAACATCGCACGTAGTGGAGCTGCGAAAGACTCCACACATGCACGAACACGAATTCCAACAGAAGAAGTTGGGGCATATCTTCTTGAAAGTGCATATAATAATTCCACCCAATCCAATATTTGAGAAGCCCGCATTCCATACTTATATCTCTCACAGAGACCAAATATATGATCCATAAAAGGGGCAAGTGTGAGTTGAGATAAGAGTGAAGTTTTCTGCATAACGGTTCGTAAAGTGGCTTTACATAAAATAATACTGCTTGGATAAGTAATACCTCTTTGAACAATGGTATCTACAATTGCCTGAACCAATTGAAGAGAATCACATCGTGTTTTACGAACACATGTTGTTAGCAAAAGAAGTTGTTCACGATTAAGATATACCACCATAGGTGCAAGTAAATAATCCGATACCCGTGCGAGAGAAACATGAATGTCTAAACCAATTTCTCCCGCAATATGCATAAGTGAAAGAAGTTCTAATGGTGTTAATCCAGAAGCTTTTTGTACACGTTGCATGATTTCTTTTCGTGTGAGTGGTTTCCCATGCGGTTTATCATCTGCCGCACTTAATGCCTCTGCCTCAAAAACAATATTCTTTAACGCCTTATCCACAAAATCATAAATAGTTGGAACATCTCCACACCATTGCTCTCGTTTTAGTACACGAAGTATACGAAATAATTGTCGTGTTGTTAATCCAGAGAATACATGACCCACAGGCATATGTGTTGTTTCTGTTGTTGTTGTTTTTATTATTTTACCCTTCACACTTTCATTCTTTTTTTTTGTATTTATACTACTGTGAATGGCATCTCCTACCTGATCTCGCAGTGAACGATTCTTCTTTGCCAACATTTCCACCGCACGTTGCCAGAAATGATGAGGGGCATGTGTCTTGGCATTATTCACAGCCCACATGAGTTGAATCAGCGGCTCCGCATCACTGTTGCTATTCATATCCGCCAGCGCACACTCCACCAGAGATCCCACCAGCGCCACTTGTCCATTAAAGACTCGAGGAGAAAATGTGAGGATTTGACGAGCCTCTCCACTTGTTAATTTCTTTTCATGCAGTAATTGCGTTACCCACGCAGTAAAGCTGCGGGTAAGGAAAGAGTGATGACGACTTCCCGCAACATCCATCATTTGATCTGGCCAATGAGAACGAAATAGTTGAGCAGCCACGGTTGGTGGAATTTCTCTCTTCTCTACTATTCGTGAGATCTCATGTAAAAGAATATCCCGCTGTAGTGTGGAAAGATGTGAACGTTGGGCTCGTATGGTTAAGAAATGTCGACGAACAGAGGGAACTTTAGATCGACACAACTCTGTTAATTCATCTTCACGGCGAATATATTTACTGAAGGCGTTTATTAATTCCTCCGGTTGGAGTTTAAGTGATGGCATAGAAACAGTATCTTGTCTCGTTGCATCTTTAGATCGATGTTGCAGTTCAGAAACAACAGAAGCCAGAAGCGCAACTAATGGTGGAGAGTTATTATTCTTATTTAATCCCTTCTGCTGAGTTGAAGAAATCTCAGTAGTAGTATTAACAATATTAGTACTAATATTAGTAGAATCAGGATTAGGAATAGATACCGAAGAAGTGGCCATAAAGTAACCCTGCAAGAGAAGAGAAACAGCACTAGTCTTACGTGCTGAGAGGATAAAGCGTCGCATTCTGTTTAGTTTCGTCTTTTTTTTTTTTTCTGATTAACACACTAACTATATATTATCAACGAGCGAAAACAAAAAAAAAAGTAAAAATAAAAAATAATATTAAACCAAAATGATAACTACAAAGAAAAAAAA